CGCAAAAGAGGCCCCGGATCGGCGTGCGGACATGTTTGTCAAGACCAGTTAATTCTAGGGTTTTCTCGTTATCAACGGGGCAGTTGGGCATGTCTAGATACTGGCAATTCTGCAACTGGTCAAGATCCGAGCCTTTCTTAGATGCCTCAAGCCAATAAAAGCAGTGGGGGAAACCAAGCAGTCGGCAAGACACGGTGTCTTTTAACCTAAGTCCCGTAGGCATGTTTGTTCTTAAAGTTGCTGTATTTTCCGAGGCAGTGTCATTTTTGCTCCCTCCCATCTCTTTCCATTATTCCCTCCCATCTCTGCCTATTACACGCCCCCCATAATTGTGGGGCGAGCAATCGGTTAAGTCTTTCCCCTAATCTCAGCAGACAATTGCCGTACGTTACAACACATTGATCTGAGAAAACTGTTGTATACAGCTGATAGTTGTGACATTTCTAAAAAATTGGAGGCCATGCATGATATCCATATTTTTCACATGGATATCATGACGACGCTATTTAAGAATATGACTCTATATGTCAGGATAATATTTGGTTTAGTAGCACCTTGTGGTATTGGGCGAAACTCTCCCTAGCGCAACCTATTCTATATTCAATTTCCTTATCTCTTATACTAAATTTGTTAGAACTGCTCCATACACAGAAGCATTTGTATTGTTTATAGTTTATTAACGACATATTCTGGATTTTTATGATTAAGTGTACTCTTTTCGAATCAATTCGAGATAATAGTTTCTATTTTTGAAATGTTTATCTTGACTTCTACTTCTTGAAACATTTGGTAAGAAATGTTGATTTGTCGTACGAATCATGCTTATCTCAACTTTCGGGAAACCCACGTAAAACTCAGCCTTGTGCCACATGCAACCCTCGTGGAGGGGTGGCTAGATACCGAATCAAGCCGAGCTTCTCGGCTTGACGGTTGAACTCTCTGCCTCTGATCAGAGAGGAACTCGACGAGGCTCCACCGAAGGGCAGAGTCTCGTTCGGGGAGGTTAAGCAACCCGATCCCGTTTATACGGGTTCTACGGGCATTTTGTGGCCGAGCCTACGGGCTCGGGAAACCCACGTTAAACTCGGCCTTGTGCCACATGCAACCCTCGGGGGGGCGCTAAATACCGAATCGAGCCGAGCCTCTCGGCTTGACGGTCGAACTCTCTGCCTCTGGTCAAAGAAGAACCCGCCGAAGGGTAGAGTCTCGTTCGGGGAGGTTGACCAACCCGATTCTGTTTTTACAGTTTCTACGGACATTTTTTGGCCGAGCTTACGGGCTCGGAAAACCCACGTAAAACTCGGCCTTTTGCCACATCTTTCACTCGTAGGGAGGGGGCAAGTAAATATCGAATCGAGTCAAGCCGATAGTAGTTCACTCCAAACCAGACTGACAGTCATACTAACACCTTCCACATCATGTATTATTATATATATATATATATAGTGCTGTTCGATAAAAGTGAGTCACCTTATCCTTTGAATTTAGCTCAACTTTCGTTTCATCGGAGAAGAGAATATTCTTCCAGTCTTCTACAGTGAGATTTTTGTAATAGTGAAGCCCATTCAAGTCTCTTGACTTTGTTGGATTTGCTTATTAGAGACTTAAACCTTCGTGTACAAGATTTGTAGCCTTGTTATGTCAATGCATTTAACCCAAATCTTCCACATTAATCACATAGATCAAACAATAAAGGGGAGAAATTTCAACTGAAAATTAAGTTTTTAGCTGCATGAGGCTATGAACATATTGATTATATCTTTTTATTTTGTAAATTGTATTATATTTATTATATTATTTACTTATTATATCTATTAGTTTACGGGGCAGGTGTCATGAAATAGTTCTTAAGGACAAAGGAGCAACTACGTATTTCAAAGCCATGGATTATGAGTTAACCAACCAGGGTAGAACGATAGTTAAATGGTAAGAAACTGCATTGCAAACTAGTTCATTATAGTCTTTTCTATCCAGTGTTTATTATCGTCTCTTCTATCCAGTGTGTCGTTTTGTTGTGGATTCCGGGTTGAAATCCGGTACCAATAAATAACAAACGCCAAGAATGAATATAGGAAAATAATGTATTAACGTAATAATACTGGTAAAGCAGGTTAGTAGTTCCAGGAATACGGGTTAGTAGCAATATATATATATACAGTCTTTGGTATTGAAGTATCGCTGTATGACTTCTTACTGAGTCTACGTGCTCGCTCACTGTGACTCCTACAACGCTGTTACCTCACCCCTCACTCTTCCGGTTACCTACAACCTTTTACTCTGTCACTCTGGACTCGACTCTGTTAGGTCTTGCTCTCTCTTACTCTCATCTTACCGTAGCAGTAGTATATGTATATACTGGGTGAGTCCATTTGTATAAAAAATGGGTGGACCCCTCATCACGTTTATAGAATATTTCAGAGTTTTATTGTGAAAACTTATAAAGAAAGTATTACGCTTCCTCCCGAGCTTTCGATTACGAACTGAACACAACGTTTCACCATCTGTAGCAGTCTTTTGATCAGGAATGCCAACTTCTCTTTTTCGCCACGCAATATTACATGTGATGAAAAATGGGTTTTGCATGTCAATAAAAAATGAAAAACCAAGTAGCTGTCATAAAATGAAAAACCAGTACCAACATCAAAACCAAAACTCCGTTCACAAAAGTCCTAAATTTATGTTTGTTATCGTTCATTACGAACTATTGGAACGTTGAAGGACCATTACTGCAAAACGCTCTTTGCCAGAAACTTTAAATGAAAAGTGTTATGGGGTCCACCCTTTTCGGATATAATGGACTCGTCCTGCTGCCATAAAATAGCTACAGTCAGGCAGAGAAGTTGAGTCGTACCGGAGTCGTACATGAGTCATACCGGAGTCGTCTGTGAGTGTCGGTAGTCGGATAGAGTGAAGTAACCTCTTGTAGAAGTCAGTTACAAGCACGTAGACTCTAAGGAAATCCTACTTCGAGACTGTATATATCTATCTGTATTTGCTACTAACCGTGTTCTTGGATTTTACTAACAGCATTACCTTTTGTATTTTGTGTAAATACATTTAATTTCTTAGCTTAAATACTTGCGTTTGTCATTTATTGGATACCTATTTTTCACGCGAGATCCACAACAAAAAGCTATATTGGAAGTGTACTCCTTCGATAAACAGAAACGGTGTCATTCTCGAGCATGACAATTGCAAAACAAACCCAAGAAAAACTAAGATATTTACGATGGAAGAGATATATTATTTTGATACATATTAAATATTTTACGCGGTTACATGGTTCACAACATTATTTTAAACGAACTTTATTATAAGAATTCGACTTTGACGAGTATTCTCTTGATTTTCTCATATTCATTTCAGTGGGGACTTCCTATATCTTACTTAACTGAATCAATGGCAAAATCTGCTTAGTCTTCGTTTTCCATGACAAAAGAAGGGCCTTTCTTATCTCACCCCTGTGTATTCTGTATAGCTACATTTTCCTCTGCCTAGGATCACTTTACGTGCAGTATTCAATAGTTGTATAAACGTATTAGTTCTGGGCAACCATAGATACCAACAAAATGTGAACTAATTCAGATTTATCATACAGTATACTGCTGATTAAACGAACTCACTCACCTATAGGACGCATGCAAGTATCCAGTGCAAATAGACATTAGATATTCTGTTCATTTTTTTAAATATTTTTACCTTTATATACTAAAGAGAGAAAACGATGAGAAAAACAAACATCTACCGAGATATGTCTATCCTTAGAGTTTACACCTAAACGACTGTCTTATAAAATAATGGAATAAATAATTGTTGTGTATGATACACCTAATTTACATAAGCGGACTACCGACCATATAAATATGGGTTGGTACCGGAAGACGGGGAAGATAGTAGAGATTAAGAAATTGAATCCAGAGACTCTGCCCGACTGCGATTTAGTCAACCCATTATGCAGGAACAGTCTTCCCAAGAATATACCAAACTAACTGTAAATATTGTGTACCTATTCTTTGTTTCAATACATTTTGTTAACGTACATTTTGTGTTGTATTATTCCATGCTTATTTAAGCTTCAACAATAATGAAAGAAGAAAAAAATGATCGGATAATGTTTAAGTTGAAAAAAAAAACGCTATAGTAAAGCTATTAGTTTCTAATGACGAAAGCGGGAATTGTCTTATCTCGAATGTCGTCAGGAGTACTGAAATGACTCTTCTATGAAAAAAAAAAAAAATAGCGGTCGTTTCCTCTACTATTTTCTAAATCTTATTAACACTCGTACAATAACGAACAATAATGCCGGTAACAAGCAAAAATAATCCTTCGTGAGTATAAGAGATAACAAAAGCGGCAATCCAAGTTTCGGCTAAGGATATTTCTGTTCACTTATCAGTAATATCATTGACAAAAACATGAATCCACACCCTTCCTGTCTCCCTCATTGCTAAATATCTTGAGCAAAATTTTCTCCAAGTTAGGCGAGGGAGAACCTAGGAAAATCACTCCCCTATAAAAAAAAAAAACAAAAAAACTTACAGTCCAGGCAGTACAAACAATAGTTTGCATCTTGTCAACATTTGCAGAAATCATTACTGCAACTAAAATCGATACCATATGTAAATGGTTTGTAATGTAATCAATCGTGACCAGGCATTCCGATTTCTCTCACTTTCACACCAACCTGGCTTCCCTCTGTCTTTTCTACAAATATTTTCATGGCAACTACTCTGATAAGCTTTTGTCCCTGTTGCCTCGACTACATGAATTTAAGTGTGCTACTAGATTGAAAACTAGATCTCACCGTTTTACTTTTGAGCTAACTAGATGCAACCACCACTAATAGTTTCTAATTCCTTGCTTCCATGCCACCCACAATCTTCAAAAATTTAAATGCTCCGTCTATCGCTATATCTGGTCTCCCTGAACCCAGTTCCTCGTCTCACTAAAGTCCTCTCATCCTCCCTGCGACATAGTGGCATTATCCATTGTAATAAATTATAACCATAGAATATTAGTGTTTGTGCTTTCTCAGATCAATGATTAAATATGTGTTGTAATGTACGGCAATTGTCTGCTGAGATTAGAGGAAACACCTAAACGAATGCTCTCCCCGCAATTATGGTGGGGGTGTAATAGGCAGAGAGTGAAAATAGATGGGAGGGAACAAAAATGACACTGCCTCGGAAAATACAGCAACTTTAAGAACAAACATGCCTACGGGACCTAGGTTAAAAGACACCGTGTCTTGCCGACTGCTTGGTTTCCCCCACTGCTTTTATTGGCTTGAGGCATCTAAGAAAGGCTCGGATCTTGACCAGTTGCAGAATTGCCAGTATCTAGACATGCCCAACTGCCCCGTTGATAACGAGAAAACCCTGGAATTAATTGGTCTTGATAAACATGTCCGTACGCCGATCCGGGGCCTCTTTTGCGTCTGTTCTATTTCGCCACAATATGGTGGAACCCGTAGATCTTAAAGACTATTCTCATATCAGTGAGAAAATAACAAAACAAGATGTTAACTGCAGTTATGAAGGAAACCGTTGGCGCTAAAATATCATTCCTGCTGCGGATAGATGACACTATTTCATTGCTACTTCAACATCTAAGTATCTGAACTTTCGAGAACTATAAGGCGAACTGGTTCGTAAGGTATACAAACACTGGCCAACTTTATCGTTCACTATTTACTCTAGTATTCTTTTCATGCTAGTAAAGGAAGCGGAAGTTTCTCCTTCTTGATATCTTGTTCTTGTTGTATCAGTCAGTTATGTGCCATGCGTGATATACGCTTAGGCGATCATGTATCTTTCGATACATGATTGACGAGGCAGATTTTTTTTCCTGCAGGAGTTTGCCATTTATTTCTGTGGTAGACCGGTTTCCATCCAAGGCTATAAAACCAGGTCTGTCTTGCTATTTATCCATAGATTGGGTGGGGGAAAGGAGGATTCGTACCTTTTCCAAGAGTATTAGCACGTCAGCGAATGTAATGGATTCGACTGGAATTCAAGCCGAGTTCGAATCCCAGTCGAATTCATTACTTCACTTTCTTGTTATATTCTTGTGACATATATATATATATATATATATATATATTCCAAGCTTGTATCTCATCTAAGCTGCGTTTGGAAAATCACTATATATATCTATGTGTGTGTGTGTGTGTGTGTGTGTGTGTGTGTGTGTGTGTGTGTGTCTACATCATCTTCACTCGAGCACTGTTTTAAGAAATCCACCCCTGCAACATTCTTCATATGCACTGGAGCAATCTCCTAACTACCATCAAAGTACTCAATCCTGCAAAATCCACAAGTATGAACTACATATATATATATATATATATATATATATATATATATTTTTTGAGTTTGTAAACGGTGACTACTAATGTTAGTAATGCAATACTCTTCTATAAGACGAATCAAGTTCTGTCAGTCACTGTTGTGTTTATTTAAAAATAGATACGCCTAAATTCAGCTTCAGATTAAATTCACCTTCATCACTACTGTGTACCAACAGCTTAGGGGTAGATTCTCCGACTGTCGCAAATTCAGCAGGGTTTCGATCCTAGCTAGAGGCAACCTGGCGTCTATCCACACTGATGAGCTGTGAAACGGTCTGGATGACTATATATATATAATTCTGTTTTGTGTATATGAGTTTGTGACCTTTGGTTTCATGCTATCATCATTTGCGATCATCAGACAAACTTGTTTAATTTTTTAAAAATTGAATCTATTTATGTTTGTTTGTGTTTGATTATGGGATTGGGAAATTCTCTGTGTTCGTTTGGGATGACACTCTCAAATATACAGACTATGTCATCCCAAACGAACTCTTTTCCTTCTTTCCAGTGAATTTTTTTCTATTTCTTAGTACTCTGCTTAGATTTTGGAAGGCATCTTTCGCCATCCCAATACGCCTCCGGATTTCAGTGTCATACGTTCCGTCCTCGATTAAAACATTTCCCAGATATTTAAATTTCCACACTTGTATGATTTTGATATTTCCGATTTTCAATTCGCACTTGGGGCTTATCCTTTTGCTAACAACCATACATTCTCTCTTCTTGAGGTTGATGTTTAATTCTTTCTTCTTACTTTCTTTCACTGCGTTCTCTAGTTTTTGTACTTTTCCTTACACGAAACCCATAACAGATAGTGGAAACTGACGTTGTCATAAGTTAACCTCCACCAACAGCCATAATATAAACCATGAAAAATTCCTCTTAATAAGCATTACATAGATAGATAGATATTAGTGGTCACTGTATATATATATATATATATATATATATATATATAATTCCAAGAGGATAGAATCCGAGTAGAGCTCAATGTCCAGGATATGCATGTTATAATATGACCAAAAAAGTTGCAATTTGGTTTCAATGATGTTAAATCATATATATATTAATATATATATATATATATAGAGAGAGAGACCACCACTAATATTTCTTTCTCTCTCTCTCTCTCTCTCTCTCTCTCTCTCTCTCTCTCTCATATATTAGTGTTTGAACCTTTATATAATATTCTTGCTCTGTCTTGTACATAGAGCTCTACCTGATTTTATCCTCTTTATATATATATATATATATATATATATATATATATATATATAGAGAGAGAGAGAGACCACTATTATTTCTCTCTCTCTTTCTCTCTCTCTCTCTCTCTATATATATATATATATATATATATATATATATATATATATATATATATATATATATCCAAGGATAAAATCCAGGTAGAGCTCTATGTACAAGACAGAGCAAGAATATATAAAAGGTTCAAACACTAATATTCCATGGTTACAATTTATTACTTTGAAATCATAATCACGATCCAATTCATCAGACCTACAATTTTAAAAAATCGGAAAATAGCGGAATATATATATATATATATATATATATATATATATATATATATATATATATATATATATAATAAATCCTCACCACATGGGATCATCAGAGTGAACTGACCAGTGAAACCTAGGTATGTAGTACTTGGCTCATTAGGATTTATTTATTTTATTTTTGCTCTATGGAAGAAATATTTATTCTTTCAATTAAATTTCATGCGCATAAAGGAATGACTGAAAAGAAAAAAGAATGAAGAACATTCTTTATTCTCAAAAATACTTTTATGATACTAAGATATACACAAAATTATATGTACATATATACATGTGTCCCAGGGAAAGAAAAATATATCTACACGGTAAAGCAGAGTGTCAGGAGAAACAAAAAGGAAGGGTCTTACATATAATATGTAGATTATCATGTATATGGAGAAGCCATGTTTAGAACTCCAGATTCAAACGAGCCGGATTCATCTATGTCCTAGGCGAGGACATATTCCATGAACGAGAAACAGTGAGTCTTGGATTTTTCCTAAATTGAGGATAGCGATCTGGAGTTTCATTCTATAACTCGGAAAGATGAATTCCCAAAAGGAAACGGCACCAAGGAATTGTAAGCTGCTTGGCGAGGCGGATTTACCCTCAGCCTGGGCCATTTGGCCCACACTAAAAGAAACCAACCTTACGTGGTGGCTGCTGTAGATAAATTGAATTTGATTGCCGCTTTCGTCACTGTATTGAGAGACGTAATTGAGCGGTCCGTCTCATGACCCACGTGACTTATTTCCATCAAAGGGAGATAAGCGCATTCAGTATCTCTACATATATATGTCTGTTTATCTGTGTCTGTTGTCCTTGAGTCGCATGTTCTGTTTTGAGAAGTTTAGTTCATATACATTTTTAAGAGTTTTTTTTTTATGTTTGGCGAAGTGTTGTGCTTATCTTAATTATTTATTGATTTAATTTCTTATGGAATGCGTCTAATTGTTTGTGAAATCTTATCATCCGGTGTCAAGGCTTCTGATCGGGAGGTTTTGAGGAGCGTGGAGTCACCTATTAATTGCTGTTGTTCCCAGATCCACTCTGGCCCGGAATGGTAGCACCTGTTGGGGTCCCAGCTATTGGCAGATAGTCAGCCTCCAAACTAAGGTCAAAGCATTATGCAGGTATAAAAATAGATTTTTATAGCAATACATTTCTGTAAAGAAAAATTATTACCTTCCATAAATTTTTGAAAGAAAAAAAGTTACTAGCAATACATTTTTGAAAGTAAAAAATATATATTAACAGCAATACATTTGACTTTCGACAAAAAAAAACCGTTTACATAAATACATCAATAAAATCTTATCTACATACTGATTTCTTACAAAAAATACATATTCTATTCATACGAATTTATTTTGAATATCCTGTTGGCATTAAATAACCCATTGAGGTTGATATACCATAAAATAAAATAAACCAAACCATCATATTACCAAAAATATAACGTAGCCCGGCCAAAGTAAGCTTAGAAACACCATACACTTATCTCACTCTCACTTCAATTAATATTTACTAAGCATTACAGGGCCAGTCCCAAGGTCACAAATATGTAATACCGAGTCAATATGGTTTCCTGTGACACTGGCTTGTTAGTCATTTGTTTTATGATAAACAGCTGTAGCATGTGTTTTTCTGATTTTGATAAATATAAAAATTTCTGGTTGTTTAAGTGTAAAAACATTCTATTGTTTTTACAAATAATTTTCTATTTGTAACAGAAAACTCACACCTAATGATGAAAATATTATTTAAAAGAGAAATGCTTTTTTTCCCAATTTTTTTCTAACCAGCAATTCCTTTGAAAATTTTACTACTTATCTTCGATAAATAAGAATAATGAAAAAATTGGTTCAGATATTTTTATTCGAGTGAAAACACCTCAAAGTTTACTTCTTTACGAATAAAATATACACTTGAATACAAGGTACCTCGCCATAAATGTTCAATATTTTTAGGAAAATCCAGAATAGTCCGTTCTCTTCACAAATTCTTCTTCATTCTCGTTCACTCTCAGTAACCACTCGTGTCTTAGTGGCATTATCTCCTTGCTTGGAGTGAAATGATTTAAAAGAAAAAGCTTTTCTTTTACTCTCTTATTTTCTTTCTTTATCAGTTCCTATATTATTTAGGGGATTAATAATAAAACAACGATAATTAAGGCAAATGTATGTGCCGATAGAGTGACATACACTTCAGGACATGGGTGATCATGGCTCACCACAAATCCCCACCTTTTATAGCACCAAGCAACCTTGAACAGTCTATTTCTGCTTCTAAGTATCGGTTTCTTGGTCCTATTTTTCCTTAAGACTTCCTTATTACTCACATGGTGAGTCATTGGTATTCTTAGCATTCGTCGGTAGAAAGTCATCTATGTTGCTTCATCAATAGAAGGTCTAGTATTCACACCATATAAGAAACTAGATTTTCGATAGAAGTTCTACACACTTTGTTTTTTTTTTTTCAAAATATTTTCTTTAATACTTCTTTCCTGTGTGGTGTCCCTTTCGGGGGTAGGCGAACACAGTTCTACGCAGCATCCTTTCTTCTGCTGCTCTAGGCAAAATTTGTCTCATTACCAACCTGTTTTTCTATGTGGTGCTATCCATACACACAAATGCATTAAGTAGTTAGCTCGCAGCTTTACCCTGCTTCTCTTGCTTCTAACCCTGCGAGTTGTAGATTCTTTAGGCCAAATTTTTTCGTTATGGGGCGGAGAAATTTTATCATTTGCCTTCTGATTGCAAGATTTCTTGTAGTTATGGCTTTCTCCAAGGCTTCCAATTATTCACATTTTCCGACCATGATAGGTGTTGTTCCTATTTTCCTTATAACTTCCTTATTGCTCACATGTTCAATCCATGATATTCTCTGCATTCGACAGCAGAACCTAACCGTGTCATTCTGATTGTATGTTTAATTTTCTTTGTAGTTCTTATTTTCTTTATGACTTCCTTATTGCTCACATGTTCAGTGCATGATATTCTCTGCATTCAACAGTAGAACCACACGAATGTGTCTTTCTGATTGTATGCATAATTTTCCTTATAATTCCTATTTTCCTTAAAACATCCTTATTAATTAAAGATGTTGAGTCCGTGTTATTCTTAGCATTTGACAGTAGAAAGACACCTCTGTTGTTTAATAAATGAATAGAGTGACTAGCATTCACTATCATATAAGAGATTAGATATTAGATAGCAGTTCTACACTATTCGTTTTTCAAAACATTTCCGAAATACTTTTTTTAAAATAAACTTAGTAAAACTTTAACTGTATTCTTAGATAGATAGATAGATAGATAGATAGATAGATAGATAGATAGATAAGAAAAGAAAAGACTTGGATAGATAGATAGATAGATAGATAGATAGATAGATAGATAGATAGATAGATAGTGGTAATATTAGCTGTTTCCTTATAAGAAAATATTAAACATTTATTGATCGAGCAGCCTTTGCTGCCGTCGTTTGAAATTTATTAAAAAAAAACTTCATTTTAAAACAATTTTTCAGGAAAAATTCCAATAGTTTTTATCGCTCTTTCCAATGTTGATGGGTGTTTCCTTCCTAACCTTTTGTTCGAAGTCGTGTGGAATGTGGACATCTTGATTATGCCATTATTTTCTCTTCAAGTTACATGGGACTATAGATTTTAGTTGTTGCTGCTGTTTAAAGTCCCCGTGATGTAGTTTCTGTTATCTGGTATAGTTATTTGATAGATAGATAGATAGATAGATAGATAGATATGAATAGAATGAGATAGATAGATAGATAGATAGATAGATAGATAGATAGATAGATAGATAGATAGATAGATACTGTTTTGACTTCAATAGTTCCACTAAATGCTAATTGCACAAAACAATACGTTGTTGAATAAAATTAAACTAATTTCTTCCGCAGTCATCAGACAAAAATTAATTTAATAAAGCAAACTTAATTTAGACAATTTAAATTATCTCACAAATTAGATCTTAATATTATTATTATTTGTAGTAAATATTAGTAGTAGTAACAATAGTTATAGTAGCAACAGTAGTAGTAGTATTTTAACCTAACTTATTGACATTGTTATTTCTATTTTTCACCATGCTACGCTTTTCCTGTAGACGTAATCTCATAAACTTATATCTACGTTAACGTGATATCTATGGCAAATGTTCAGGTGAACTCTATTCTTTAGTTCCACAAGTTCTGCTCTGTAAAGATTGGATACACCATGCCACTTCCACAGAGTGCAATCATCGCCATTTACCCCGCTTCCCAAATGTAAGGAAACTGTTCACGCTAGGAAAGCTTTTACTCGAGAACTGCTACTTTGTCGAACAGACTTCCGGTGGTTGCTACAATCTTAACCTCTTCAGGTCAAGGGTCAATCGTTGTCTATCCTCATGATCACCATTTCCTTCCAGCTTGTTACCCATTCATATAAGACACTGCATTTATCATAACCATTTTTTGACTTGCGGCCACCTAACATTGAAACCGTTTCCAGTACGATCACCGAAGTTAAGCAGTGTCGAGCCTGGTCAGTACCTAGATGGGTGACTGCTTGGGAATACCAGGTGCTATAAGATTGGATACGCAGGTGGTGGAATCGATATCGCCTCAGAATTGTTAGTCGGAAATTCGAGTTCCATTCTTATTCGGTTTGTTATATTCACTTAAGCGCAAATAGCCTTGGGAAAGGTTCGTCCTGGGTAAGACGTTAAACTACGTCCAGCAGCAAGGCCTCTGATCAGGAGGTTTTGAGGAGCGTGTAACCACCTCTTAGTTGCTGGTGTTCCCAGGTCCACCCTGACCCGGGGTGGTAGCACCTGTTAGGGTCCCAGCTATGGGAAAAAAGTTAACTATTACCAGCAATACTTTTTGAAAAAAATTATTACCAGCAATGCAGTTTTGAGGAAAATATATTACCAGAGACAGATTTTTGACAAAAGGTTACCGGCAATAGAAATTTTTGTCGGCATTGGGTGGCCCATTGGGGTCGATGTGCCGTAGAATAAAATAAACCAAACCAATCTAAACCAAAGAATACATACTCCATTCATACGAATCTACCCTAAAAATGTTGTCGGCATTAAATAACCATTGAGGTTGATATGCTGTAAAACAAAATAAACCAAACCAATCTAAACCAAAGAATACATACTTTATTCATACGAATCTATCCTAAAAATATTGTCGGCATTAAATACCCCATTGAGGTTGATATGCTGTAAAACAAAATAAACCAAACCAAACCTTGGGAAAGGTATAAAGATTTGAAACTGACAACTTTTTTTCATTTCACTGAAACAGACGTTAAACGCTTCTATGTTCCCATCTTTCTTTCAAGTAGAGTCTTTGATGTCTTTTATCTTCTCATCCGATAAAAATAGAACAGTTCATTATTTATGAGGTATTAGCAGGAGACGTTAAACACTTTTTTCTTTCACTGAAACCAAGTAGCGTCCTTTATAAGACTTTTGTCTTTCCACGCGATCAAAACAGAATACTCCATCATTTATGAGGTATTGGTAGGGCATAACGGTATTGCGAAATAAGGAAAGGAAGAAGAAGCACCAGTATTATGTGATCATTATTATTATTGTTTATACTATTATTATTATTATTATTATTATTATTATTATTATTATCAATCCTAAAAAGCCAATACATAACTTTAATTATGGCGGACATCAGTTCTTATCAGTTAGGCTTTTGACGTAATTTAATAAAGAATCCTTTGTGAACTTAGATACAATAATATATAAGAATTTCAGTTTGTGGTTTAGACTGTATTTAATCAACTCCTTCCTTTTTTTGTCTCAGATTCGTTTCGTTTTGACAATTTTGTTATTTCTCTTTTTCGACTGACCTCGATTTCTTATTAATGAAAACACTTTTCAAAGTCATGAACAAGTAACAACAAAAGCAACGGCCGCTGGCTTGTTTTACGATCTGACACTATTGCTAACACCATATTTTCAGGTCCTGTCCTGCTTTTTTGTGTGTGTGTGTGTGTGTGTGTGTGTGTGTGTGTGTGTGTGTGTGTGTGTGTGTGTGTTCCAACGTAGAAGTCGATGATGGGTCGGTGGTGGTAAGTATTCAGTCTGAGTTCCATCCGAAAAATCTCCAAAAATCAAGTGTTTTAATTGCAGTCAAGTTTAATTTCATCTTTGTAATTAATTTTTCGTTTGCATATTTTTTTTTTTCAAATGTGAATATATATTTTTAAGAAATCTATTGATTTCCTATCAAACAGAATACAAATTATATATATATATATATATATATATATATATATATATATATATATATATATATATATATATATATACAGAGATTGCTTACTCGACACGACACTCAGCAATCGATGCCAATTAGTGAAAAATGTGTATAATCTTATTCGATTCTAATAATGAATTTTTCTCTATTAAAAACAGAAATTATTTGTTTGGTATCAAATGGTGATACGATGACTTTAAGGAAATATCAATCACGTCAATACTAGGCTGTATTTATTTAACAAAATTCTCTAAATTTATAACATCATTATTCAATCCTCAATCTCTTGTTCTGACCGTCTTCCAGCTAAATCGTGCATGTCATTAGCTTAGGTATATGCAAATGTCTTCATCATCATCATGTCTGAAAAGTAGACGCAGAAGAAGCTGGAGACTTTCTCGCCCTGTGTATGACGATAAACTACATCCGATCTGACAGCAAGGTCTCTGATCTGGAGGTTTTGAGGAGCGTGGGACCACCTCTTATTTACTGCTGTTCCCAGCTCCACCCTGACACGGGGTTGGAGCACCTGTTATAATCCCAGCTATAGGCAAATATCTAACCCCCAAACTGAGGTCAAAAATACACTTTTATAGCAAAAATATCAGCAATACATTTTCATAGTAAAATTTACTTTTTTGTAAAAGAAATTACTAATGCTCTAATTACTAATGCTCTTTTATTTTTAGTTATTTATTTTTTGCAAATCGGATTTCATTAACCGCGTCTATTTTACAATAATGATTTAATTATAAAAGTTTTACTAATTAACCCATAGCTGGGAGAAAGACAGCGATTCATAACTCCCCCAAGGGTATACGCGGGTTGGTTAATATAACTCGGCTGGAAGTCGGATCTCCGATTAACAATTCCGAGACATTATCTATTACACCGCCTGCTCGTCCTGGGTATGACGATAAACTACATCCAGCAGCATGGTCTCTGATCGGGAGATTTTGAGGAATGTGGAACTACCGCTTAATTGCTGGTGTTCCCAGGTCCAACTTGACCAGGGATGGTAAAACTCGTTAGAGTCCTAGCTATGGGCAAATAGTTAACGCCCAAAATGGGGTCCGACGGGTTGACTACGATTATTTTACTCGAAGAAAAACGGCCAGAAGAGTTGCAAGAGATTCCGAATTCGTCTGGAGGCCGTGGCTAAAGCCAAATGCGTTTTTATTGAATAAATTTACTCCTTACTATTTGAAGATATTTTTTGTGTAATTTTGGGAAATATATCCGTTAAAATAAGGTGTCAGTGTTATTTTCATCTTGTTGCCATATATGGTCTGGAGCCCCTTCTGTTTGTCTCAAGGTCCTCGAGAAAATCCAGAGACGGATATGCAATCTAATTGGCCCTAATCTCGCATCTCGTCTGCAGTCGCACTCTCACAGACGTACCATCGCCTCCCTCTGTCTTTTTTACAAATACTCTCACGGTAACTGCTCCGATGAGCTGCTTCCGCTGGTTCCCAGACTTCATGAATTTAAGCGTTCAACTAGGCTGGCATCTCGCTCTTACCCTTTCAGTGTCGAAACTGTTAAATGTAGCCGTCTCTTCTACTCCAATAGCTCGCACTTCTCGCCTGTGGAACTCCCTCCCCTTTTCCTGTTTCCCTGATAGCTATAATCTCCAACTATTCAAATGTAATGTCAATCGACGTCTCCAGATGCCCTGATCTATCCCCTATCCTTCTCTTCATCCATTCCTTTATCACTCCTATTTGCTCTCGCTCCACCTCTCTGTAACCCCTTGTGTGCTAGTGGCTTCCCGCCCTGCCTGGGGTGAAACGCTTTAAAAAAAAGTATAATTTAGATGACAATTTATCCATCGCACCCTGTAGATAGATAAATAGAGAGTGTGTGTGTGAGAGAGAGAGAGAGAGAGAGAGAGAGAGAGAGAGAGAGAGAGATTTGACTGAGGAACGGATAAAAACGGATTTTTCCCGAGATAGGATGAATGGATTTATAATATTAAAGTCAAAAAAACAGCACGACCTTTCATAATTCCTCAGAATAATAAGTGGATAGTTTCTGAAAGGGTAAAAGTACTACATTTGAAAATTAGTACTGATTTGGTGCTTATAAGCAAGTCGATAAGTTACCTGATTCACGTATCAATTTGTTGGCAAAAAAAGTCATTGATACAGATTCCCTCGAGGGAAATAATTTTGATTTCAAAGAGAAAGAAATATGTTTGCCATATCGATCTCTTGGATATTGTTTAATCTCTTGATTAAAATCATAACCGGCTTTCTGACAAAATTACGTATCAGAAATATCTACTTGTCAATTGTTTGTGGGTGTGGGTCATGGCAGGGCAAATTCATTTCACAAATTCTTCTGTCATAAACGAGACAGTACTATTGTCTACCATATTTTACCCTTCTATCTCATCTTTCCATTTTCTGATATTGTTTTTCTTTTCATATTTTATACTTATTGGGTACCAGTCGAGCGACCTTTTACTCCATCTGTTATCGTTTCTGCTTTCTATGTGTTCCGTCCACCGCTATTTGTTGTCTTTTAATCATTTAATGGATATCTTTATCTGTTTTTGTACCCATCTTGATCCCTTTCTGTCTCTTAGCGTCATCTTTAGAATTACTCTTTCAACAAATCTTTATGCATTTTTTAGTTTCTTTTCAAGCGATTTTGTTTCGCTCCCGTGTTCCGTACATGCTTTAGATTTTCTTGTTATTGGCAAAGTATTTTTCATCATATCTTTATTTTTCTTGAATGCTTTCTACTTTATGGTTATACTACGTTTTATTTTATTTACACGTTTTTTTTTCTTTAATGTTTTTCTCTATCCTCTGTCTATGTACTTCTGGACCTCTTCCAGTTCTTCATCTTCTATTCAAAACGATAATTATGGTCTGGAATTGAAATGAAAGAACTGATGGCATTTACAGTGTATCCATCATAAAAATTCAGAATGTGTTAATAAGACATACCAAGTACTTCAAATACCTCAATGAATAGATCATTTATAAGAAACGAATAAATTTAGAACGAATTTAGTATATGAGATAAAGAATGTGATCAAAGACTAAGACAGTCATGGACAAAGTTGGGGAAGCTGGCCTACATCAGGCATGTTTCGCTTTCTGAATGGCCCACCGAATTCCATGAGGAAACAAAAAAGGTTTATTAAAATTTTCTTTATTTCGTTTCGTCCTCACTTTATTCACTTATATTTTCTCATGCATAACCATATAGATAAACAATGATACAACATAATGTTTCTCGAATTTTATAACTTTTCGTTGAAGGTAACCTTTTCATCATTTTAAACGATT